CAAAATAATTTCCAACTGTATCATTCCTCTGAATGCTTCCTTGCCACATGCACACAAATACAAAAGCATCACTGATTATGATAGTGCAAGAATATTTGCACTCATATTCTGACATCTTGTATCTCCCACACACACTGACAAGCAGCTATCAGTCATTGGTGCATGACTGGTTACACACACATACACACACACACACACACACACACACACACACACCCAATAGCAGTTGCAGGATCAGTCCACTCACCCTGACTGTTGGGTCCCCCATCGCCCTCTTCGCATTCGGTGAGGTTGTTGAGCATTTTGGAAGCTCGAGCACAGATCCCCTGCTAATGCTAACACTGCTGCTGCGTCCACCAGCCAACACGTGTGCTGTGCTGTACCAGCCTCACACGGATGGAGGAGGAGGAGAAGGCTTGTGGTTCTCTGCCTCTCTCCACTCAAGAAAGCGAGCAGTGCTGTGCTCCAGCAGACTGGAGTCCTCTCTGCGTACTGACTCTCTCTCTCTCTCTGTAGGAGGAGGAGGAGGGGTTGGGGGGACAGAGAGAGGCTGCAGGGACGTAAATGACGGAATGCTTAAGAGCACTTTTTTTCTCTATCAAACACTCACACAGCATGTCTTCTCTCTCTCTGCTACGCAACTACAGGCTGCCTATGCCTCACCATTATATTCACAATGCAGTGATCAGGAATATTCTTTGCTTACATGTAGCATCTGTTGCAATGTCTATGTCATCACTGTGTCAAACTGTCCTTATATCAGAAAGGTTGCAAATCAAAAAATGACCGCATGTGGTTGTGATTTAAAATTGTAGCTTTCATTCTCAGGTTGTTTGCCTTGATAATTCACCAACCAAAAAAGCAGCAATCTGCATTTTTGCATGTATTTTTTTTTTGTTGAGAAAATATGTAAGGGTGTGATGGCTGGTTGCTAGGTTGTTGCTAAGGTGCTCAGAGTGGATTTAAATGTGTTGATATGGGTGTATGCAGTTGCTGATCTGTTCTGGATGCTGCTAATTTGCAAGTCCAATGCAATTCCAATTTGCAAGTCTGAAAGCTAGAGATATTTATATTTTTGCCATTCCTTGCAAAAAGAGCAGCACAGCTTATTGCATGATTTGTTTTAGATGGACCATAGATCAAAATAAATAAACAAACAAACAAGCAAACACCATAAAGGGCTGGTCAATTAATTCCTGTTTATTAGTAACCAGCCAATAACTTCACAATACGTTTTCTTAACATTAGGTAATGCAACAGCTAGCATAAAAAAGTTATAAAAAAATAAATAAATACAAACATTTTATTTATACTATTTATAATATATATTTTATAATAATATAATATAATATTTATAGTATATTTTAAAAAACTAGGGTTTTGTTTCTGTTTTTGAACAGTCGTTAATCAAATAGCTAATGTAAAATAACTAAATGATTTAAAAATATTTTGTAAAATTAATTTTAATATAATTTAGCATATTAATAATATTATACATAATTACAATTTAATATAATACAACATTTAAGTTGCATAAATGAGCATGTTAATGTACAATAATATCAATGAATCACATTAACAAAAGTATTTATAATTTATTAACATATTTAATAAATGTTGCAAAAAAAGTTTATTTTTCATTGACAACACCTAATGCATTAATAATGTTAATAAATTGAACCAAGTTGTAAAGTGTTACCTATTTTCCAGAAAAATGGGTTTGATATCAAATCACATAGGAGCATTGATATTTCAATTAAAAAATGAGACTCGTGAATCAAACACCTCGACCTTCTGCCTTAATGTTTCTATATGTGATGAAATACTTATGAGGCATAAGCCATGTAGGGAGTTATTGCCAGAGGCTTTTACAGGCTCTATGTCACGCTACAGGTTGTGGAGTCATTGTGAGATGAAGTGATGTGGAAATCTTGCTTTCTTTTATATACACTTTCCTTCTGACCTCAGAGGTAAACTTCCTGAGAGCTTTCTATAAATACAGAGAATAAATTAAGGTATGGGAGATTTTAAAGGTTTTTTTAAAAGTGCAGGATGGTGAGAAAGAGCACACATCAGGAATGAGGGACACACAAATGGTTAGACACATAAATTATAGATCTGCTCAGAGAGAAACATTGATGGATAAAAGCAACTGTGTGAAGCTGGAGAGGTCAGAGTATGGATACAAATATGGGGCTCTGGAACAGCATAACATTTTCTCATACAGCTTATATGTGCATATACATGTAGAGTCCAAATGTCTAAAACCACACTGAATTCAAAATCTAATTTAAACCAGAAACAAAAGTTTTAAACAATTTTAAACAAAGAAACATTTTGACTTTATTGAATAAGAAAGTTTGTATATTTCTATATGGATGGCAGGATCATCAGGTCAGCTTGTGGAGTTCATGCAGCTCAAATCATTATCCTTTTTTTCAAACTTTTATGCTTATAATTGTATTTTACTTAAGGCAAGACACTACAGGCAAAAGCACAGTTTTTTCACACACTGGTCAATTTTGAGATTTTAGGCTATCTGGAAAGACTAGTGGAAAGAAAACAAAAAATACACTTTTATATGTTTATTTTATTGCACTTCATCTATTTGCATTTGTAGATTTAAATTCCAATTTGCATTTTAAAGGCTTTCTTTTTAAAACGAGTTCTTCACTGAATAACTTCAGTAGCACTTTAATTTGAAAAATTAAAAATTTAATTCTAAACAGTTTTAATTCTATCTATATTGTGAAGGGTTTTGCAGAAGGTTTTTTTGTATATCATTTGCCTAATTTTATATACGATTTTATTCCTGAAAATATGGTGATATTTTTTTCCGGCTGCTGACAGTATTTTCTGATTTATAATAGAAAAGATATCCAAAATATCCTCTGTAACCTTTGACTTTAAGATGTCAAATAAATTATACAATGTTTATATTTCTGTTCTGGAAATGCAAAAATTTTTTTTTTGCATATTTAATTGTCTCAAACAATGCCTCATTCGCATTTTTAAACATAGCATTTCAGAAAACTTGTAATACAAAAAGAAAAAAAATCAATTCTAAACTTAATCAACTGGGGAATTACAGTGATATTTATTAGTTTTTACACTCTTCACTTAGAGTGTCTTGTCTCAAATGTACTAAAATAGGTAAATGTTCTATCAAATGCTATGCAAACTGAATAAGAGAAACATATACAATAACGAAGAAAAAAAACAGACCAATGAACCTTGTGCAGATAAGTGGTATCAAGGTCCAGGGTGAAGAAAGGAGATAAGATTTTGAGAAGCATGAGAACATGCTGGCCTGGCTCTATTCATGCAGTGAATCTCCACTGAGACGACACTTTTTCTCCTAAAAGCATTTAAGTGCGGCGTCTCGCCTATTTTTAGCATCAGAAGCTCAAAGACACAGAAAATGTTTCTGAACTCTGAAGATTTCTCTGTGATTAAATAATCTGTTCTCATATCTGTGCATATCTTTTTTTTGTGTGTGAAGACATATTTCTATATATGGTTCTAATGACATGGCTGAGAACAAAAACCTTCTGTAATATCAGGAATTCACAGATTAAAGCACATTCACAAACCTTTTGACTTTACCATCATTTGCATTTTTGCCCAAATCCAAATAACTTGTCAGAAAAGTATATTGCTGTTTGTATGCATGTTCATAGTCTGTCAATTTCCAGAATGAGGTAAAATTAATAATTAAAAAAAAAAAGTAAAATCTCTCTCTCTGTATAGGAAGAGTCCCAAATGTCAGTAGAAAACTGCATGATAATTACAGAGTCACGTCCAATTAAGCATCACATATCATGAAAGAAATGAATTCTCTACAATTTAGGGCTCATTAATAAAATTTGGCATAAACTCTGCTAATTTTGTCCAAGTTTCAGAATGTTAATATGTTTGAGAATGTTAATATTTTCTCACATTGATCAGCACCCTTGTAATAAAAAAGTACACTTAAGCATACACTTTCAAAAACAGTAGGCTATACTTATTACAGAAAAAAGAAGTTTAAAAAATATACACTTAAGTGTAAACTGAATGTAATATTTTCAACACGGAAGTGCATATGAACTGCAATTATATGAAAATGTATTATAGTTTAAATTGATATAAAATGCAATTAGTTGAATATATGAGTGCTTTTGTGACCCACTTAAATAGGACTTAAATACTTCTTTACATGTAATTTAATAATTCTACTGTCTTTGAAATATGGTTAAAGAGTATTGCAGAGTGTCATTTCTAACGTCATTTCTATTGAAACTTGTATGAGATGCATTCAAATTAATTTGAAATTAACTTCTTTAAAACATAAGGCTTTAAAATGTACTTTAAAGTAAAACTTTTAATTTGACTTTAATGCAAAGTGCACTTTTAAAAGTATACTTAAGTGTGTTAGAAACAATCATGAAAGTGTCTCTCATTTAATACACACATTGAAGATGTGAAGTACACTACAAGTGCGCATTCAATACAGTTAAGCTCACTTCATTTTTACAATGGCAGTAAGCATTATTTATGGATAGTGACAGAAGCAGAGCTGACAGAATTTTTAAGGATCACATGTCTTCTGTGCTGTGAAATAGAAAGGCCTGGTCCAGATGTGGACCGACTCCCTCAAGTTTGCTGGAATCACAAATTCCTGCCATGATTGGCATCCATCCTGAATACTATTTTCATCTGGGCCAAGCTGCTTTAGTGCTTAACCCGGAGGGCACTTCCCATCTTTACGCATACACATATACACAACACAACCCTCCCAGACCACAAACGCTGACCTAATCCACAGATTAAGGCCACAGAAAAATGTTGCAATTTGCTTTTTCATTTAAGCTAAAAATGAAACAAGAATGTAAGAGTCATCACACTCGATTTGACAGCACAAGACGTGGATATGAGCGCCTAATAAGCTCGTTTAAGCAGTAAGCAGTTTGGGATTCTCATTTTTATCAAGGCTTGCCAATGTTTAAATGGAATTGAAATGAGCTGTCCATTTAGCCCCAGGACAACCAAGGGCGTTTCACTGGGATTACAGAAAGCACTAGGCTGACCAGCAGCTGTACTGGGGTGAAGATTAAAACCGTGGGCAGAAAATGACCTTTCCGATCGCGATCTTTCACAAAGTGCTGTCTGGTTATCATTAACTGATATTGCGTAAGGTGAAATGCCACAGGACACAATGGACTTCCAAGAACTGTTTGAATGTCATGATGTCAGGATTCGGCTGCAAATCCTTTTAGAGGTTTAGATAGACACTTATTTTATTATGTTTATATATATCCTTAATGTGTATTTTAAGTAAAGGTAAAATTAGGTAAAAATGAATAGTTTTATTTAGCAAGGACATATTAAACTGATCAAAAGTGACAGTCATTTATAACTATACAAAATATTTCTATTTCAAATAAATGTTCATTTAAACTTTGAATTCATCAAAGAATCCTGAAAAAAGTATGCAAAAA